GTCAGGCATGATGAAAACCTGAATCTGGGAATGACTGGTGGCAAAAACAGAGAGAGAAAAGCAACTGAATAACATCCCCCTGAGACTAGGCATCCCCCTAAGCCTGTGGATAAACAGCAATAATAGGAAATTCAAGTTGCTAGCTATTCAAGATCAAGACAGATTAACAGCAGAGCTGAGAAAATCAGTAGCAGACAAACGGAACTTTCCCATCCCCACTGATCACAGGTGAGTATTCTCTTGTACATGCGGAGCTGGTTGCTGCCATTCACCCCCTTCCATTTTCAAAGCAAATTGTTGCAATGTGTTCCATGTATTTTCAATTCACATCAATTCTGGAACTGCTGTTAAAGTGTCTGCCAGAACGTTAAATGAGGCACTGTGCAAGGTACTTGGCACCAGCACTTGGGAACTTTTATTTTTTCTTTGTAAATACATGAGGAGACTTGGAAAATGCTGACTCTAAATCCTTAAGGGCCATGGGACTGTCCTGCCTGAGCACCATCATCTCTTGGCAGTTAGATCCTGAGGGAAACCCAATGCTAAGACCTCTTTGGTGTGGTGAAGATGATGCTGGCAGAATGCTTCCAGAGGAGATCAGAAGCATTAACTAGTCCATATTTGCTGACGTGCGGTGTAAGCTCCAAGATCTCTTTATTCCCTGTGCTTTCTGGAAGAGAACTGAAAAAACAGAGAACCCACATTTGGACACATTATTATATAACATTGTTATACCATCATACTATTTGTTAATGTATGTTGCTTGACATTATGTTTCTATCAGTGTAAACATCTAGAAGAGCAGTCTCCTTAGATGCTTTAAATTCTCTTCTCCGTTTACTTATTCATCTTGAACAAGTAGGTCATCACTTTATTCCAACCATGATAGCTCTGGTTGGTCTCTAAGTAACTTGAAGAGAAGTGTTACACCGATTCTGCTCTTATGACTGAGGACTTCTACTCATTGAGCACCTGCTGATAGCATTATTTGTTATTCAGCTGAGAAAAGCCCTTTGAGTTCTGCTGGAGGGTTTTGAGGGGTTTTGTGCAGAAAATTATTAAAAATCTGTTTTCTTAGACTGGGCTTTCTCCATGTCTTTTCAGTCAACAATCAATAAAGGCAACTTAAATTGTGCTGTCATGCCTCCTATCGCCTGCTGGATGTTGATGCATCATCCCTACCAACATAAAACTGCTTCTACTGTTACTGGGAACACATCTCTGATTGCTTTCCACTGACTGTTATAAAGATAGCTGCCCTCATCCCTGACCTTGGCTTTTCTTTTCCTCGCTACAGGACTGCCTGTCCTCCTCCAACTATCTTCTTACAGCTAATGAGTCCACTCATTCATTTATTCTGTCTCCTTGCAAGTATTTTTAGACTGTGATCATCTCCCTTGGGTGGGCTATTTCTTAAAGAAGATAAATGCTATTTCACCTCATCTTTTCTCATCTCTTCCCCATGCCTTATTACTTCAGAGTCTTCATGTTTCAACTCTGTATCCTTTGAATATATCCAGTGGAGACCTTTTGCATGCAGACCTGAATGATTGCCCAATAGTGTAGTATGAAAAAGAATATCACCTACTTCTTATTTGTATAAGAGTTTTGCTATATATAAGAACTGATCTCTACTGGTTTATTTCATATTTACATTCCTCAAATTGTTTTCCATTATTGTTGCAAAGGCTTCTGAGGCCTTACAGATGGCACTATTTTTTTCTGGAAGCCACTCGGCGAAAGCCTGTGGTTTCTGTGGCAAGGAGTTGGGCAACAGGGAGCTTTTCCCCTCAGCCATTATCATTACTGGAGAAGGAATTACGGTCATCTGATTTTCCAAAGCCCAGAGAAGCCCTAGATGTTTTATATTTAAAATTGTTAGAAATACTTAGACATTGTCACAAGAAATCATGTTCTGAAATGCTTTTGCTATTGCGGCTGCTACTTAATAAAATGCAAATGGTAAGCACTAGCTCTCTAAGTACAGAAATTGGGAAGCTTTTATTTACCCTTACAAAACTTCAGAGCCATCAAATGGATTTAGCTGAGATTTTGTGACACTGCTGTTGAGCTAAGCCCTCATTTACCAATTCATAGCTAAGAGCAAAGGCTCTATTCAGAGCTGTTGAGCCCTGTTACATTTTCTGCCCAAGGATTTCTACAAGTGAATGCACAGGTATGACTGGGAAGGGGTGTCAGGACAGCTGGATAATCAAAGAGCTGCTTTCAGCTGTTCCTGCAGAACTAATGATCTGCCCCAAATAGGGCAGTCCACGCAACTGGGAATGAGGAGAGAAATAAGCCAATACAAGGAGTCACTGTAATGTTACATTTTTATAGCTCTTTTCATCCCAGAGGATCATGACTGTAAAGACTGCATACATCTGAGAGTCCCACCACTTCTGCCAACATCCAGCTGTTTGCTGCAGGGGAAGCATTTCACTGCACAAAATGACAGCATGATGGTTCGCAGTCAGAACACAGATGTCTGAATAAGTCATGGGGAAGAACAATTGGGTGAAGGATAACTGTGGGGAGCCATGCTGTGGTTGCTCAAATTGAGATCCCCCTGGGCTGCAACATGGAGAAACCTTGCAGCGAGGGCAGTCAGCTCTGACTGGCAAAGGGCAGGCATGGCCCAGCGTCGGTGAGCAGAGATAGCAGGCTCTGGGGGCAATTAACATCACTGCCTGCACAGGACTGTCCTCACAGGCAGTCCACCCAAGCTGTGAGCTGGCTGTGTCTTCCCCACAATGCCACCCCCAAAAAGCTCGTGGCTTGGCAGCAGGCCCTGAATGCCACGAGCTGCACAAACTGCAGCATTCAAGCGCCAGCTGCAGAGGGTAAGAACATAATTTCTACTGATGTAAAACCTTGGGAGCCCTTTGCCTGTAGAGATATCTGATAAAAGAAGTTGTTGCATCAACTGATTGTTGGGACAAGAATAATTTTGGAGCCTGTCCAAGATGAGGTGCATGGCTCCGAGTGCTGGCTCAGCTGCCAGCGACAAAGTGACTGTCTGCTCACCTTGGTGCCACCTCACCAGTGGGGAATAATTTACTTTGAGATGCTGTTTGTGGGCATTGATAACACTCAATTTTCTTGTAGCTTTCCACTGAGGTTTGTAGTGTAATTTATAAATAGTGATTAGAAAGCGTCTCCAAGTTGCCTGCTAGATGCATTTTTAGATTGGTCATTACATTAAAGTAGAAAGGGTGAAAAGACTTATCCAAAATGTTACATTGAATTACTGGCAAATTGATAAACACATCCTGACTTTTTCCTTCAGAATGTCTGTATGCATGAGGTAACAAACGTAGCTTCTGTCACATACAAAGACAGATAATGAACTGTTAAAAAGCATAATACAGCCACATAAAAAGTCAAAACACTTTTTATTGTTCACAGTTAGTGCAAATACAGATTATTACACGTTGCAATAGTAGTGCATTCATGCGAACACACACAGTGTGGAAGGGTTTGTATGCTACAAGTTTTAATTATCCAGTTAGGGTTTTTTCAGTATATTTTCACGGTTGCTTTGCTCATCACAATAGACTTTATTATTGATCCAAACATGTATACAAGTGTGAAGCTATAGGACTGTGTGCCTCTGCTGTGGCTCATGAGGAATGCAAGGATGTGAGCACGTGTGCTTCTCTACCTGGGATAGAGAATGCATAGAGAGCATTTTTGAGGAAGGGAAAACACATTTTTCACGGCTTGTCAGCATATTCCCCAGCTTATTAAAGAGAAGCAATGGATTTCTGCCCAGCCCATATGAGCTGATGCAGTTTGCCAAAACAACAGCTTCTTGTTGCAGGTGCTGAGGAGCCCAGCACTATGATCCTGGTCAATGTTGCTCATTCTTTCTTAAGGCACCTATTAGCATAGCATATCTGCACTGATCTCAAGGGCTGTTGCTGCAGCTGGAAAACAACTGACACGTTAGTCTGATTAATCCCTGTAGTAATTCCATTAACCTCCTTAATGGAGTTATAACATGGATGAATTTACCCCTCTGCAGCAACGTGAGAGGGAAGCGTTGCTCCAGAGAGCCTAAAAACATGGTGTGGCAGGGATGTCCGAGGTAAACATTTTTATTTTAGTGCAAAGCAAAGTGTCCTGATCCACTGAAACTGCTCCTGTTCCTGGCATTCAGAGCCCCTAGCAGCACCAACAGTGTCGGTGCCCTCTGCAGAGTGTGGTGCAGGGGGACGTGGGCACATCCCTGAACGTGCTCTTGTCTCTGTCTTTCACCCAGCCTGACAGTACATTTCCTCAGACACAGCTTTCCATTCACCTCTGCATTGCCTCTCCCTTTGTTCTGCCTGATGCTGATTTATCTGCTTGCTGCAGCTTTGTCTGTGCTGCATTCCTGGACAAAGGGCTGCTGAAAGCATGTGGCAAAGCTGCAGTGTTGGCCTGTCATTGCACAGGGAGTGGGTTGCGACAGAAATGGAGAAATACTGGATTTCTCTCTGTTTCCTTCCTGGTTTTTGAGAGCAGATTAATCTGCTGCCATAGCCGTGTTCACAGCCTGCTCCTTTGGAGGCTTGATTGCACTGCAGGTCTGCCAGGGAGGGCTTCTCAGTGCTGTTGCCTCCAGAACGAAAGGGCCAAAGGCACCTTGGAGGCTCCAAATGAGCAGATGTCAGTGTTGCAGGCTATCACAACAACCCAGGCTCTCAGAGAGCTCCTGCTGTAGCTTGTTTGGGGACATACAGGTGGCCAAGGGCAGGGAACTGAGATCAGGCTAATCCTGCTGCTAGTTCAAAGCCTGTTGCCATGTATGCAGGTGCAGTGATGCGACTACTAAGCTGCAGTATCTCTTCCTCTACATGGTTTGTGATCTCTGCATTAATAGGCTAAATTGATTCTCCTGGATAGCCGGTCCCATCCTCCTGCAGAGGCTGCAGTCTCGAGGGATGAAGTGGCCAAGCTCCTCACAGTCCAGGAGCTGGGGATTGCTGCCCGCAAGGGATGCACATGCAGGGTTTTTATTTCACTTTCTGCCTGCGGCAGTCGCTTCCCACATTCAGCATGGGGACGAGAAGCCCCAGCAGCCATCTCTTGCCGAAGACCTCCCGCAGATTCTCCCTCCAGGGCCGGGCTTTCACCACCATCCCCTTCCGCACCTGGTACCGTGTCTGACCACGCAGGATCAGCAGCAGCTGGTGGCAGCAGAACCCAGCACAGGCCAGCCCAATCCCAAGCCAGAGGTAGAGCATGAGGATGACAAACATCTCAGAGCTGAGCAGAGCCCCTGCACAATGACAGTCAGGGGAGGGGAACAGCAAAAGAAAGAGTTTAGGAATCTCTCACATGTCAGCATCGCACGCAGCCCTGAGGGCCTGGCTGGCCACATTGTGCAGCCATACAAGAAGTGAGTGAGGAGAAAGGTAGGGTGGTGAATAACGACATAAAATTGCTTTCCTTGTAGTGGCCAGGCAGTGCATCCCTTTCCTTGTAGTGCCCCAGGCAGTGCATCCCACTGGGGAGGTACTAAAATGGTGGCAGTCTCTGCAGAGTTCTCCTTTTGTTGTTAATGTGTGGTCTGGATTTCAGAGGCAGTCTCCAGAAGTGAAAGCATTTGTATGACTGCAGCTCTTTTGAAGAATATGAAATTATTTCAGCACCTGCCTGTTAAGCACAGGGACTCAGGGGTTCCCAGGCTCCTTTTGGAAGGAGATGCAGTTCTACAGCATTTAGATGCTTCCAGAAACCTTACTGTATGCATTAATACCAGGCAGACAGATCTGGGGCTCATCACTAGACACACATGTGCCCAGAGAAGCTATAGATCCCATCCATGGAGGGAATTGAGGACAGGATCGATGGGGCTCTGGGCAGCCCAAGCTGATGGAGAGGCAGCAGCTCTGCCCATGGCACAAGTGGGGACTGGGTGAGCTTTAAGGACCCCTCCAACCTAAACCATTCTGTGATATGTATAATCGCTGAACAAGAATATGTTTAAAAAAAATGAAAAATCAGTAATGCCTTTCCTACCATTTGACAAATACAGCTTTCACATGAATGCAATAAACTGAAACAGAAAACTTTCCCAAATGCAGTCCAAATTTCTTTCTTAAAGTTGCTACTAGAATACTCCATCCAACCTATGGTCCCTGAGCCCAGCCTGCCTGGCATGCAGGGTGGGAGCACAAATTTGGCACAGGCTTGCACCATGCACTCAGACCTGAGCTCTGCCTGCAGGCCACTCTGAGGGCTGTTGGTGAGGGTGCTGCTTGCAGCCACTAACTATTGTATCATCCTGCTAAGAAAAGGCACCAGAGTTGTTCTGTGCTCTCTTTAATTGCAGCATCATCTAACGAGAAATCATGAGATCCCAGTGGGCTTCGTATGTCATGCAGCAAGGACAGAACAGTGTCCAGGATGATGACAAACCCCCAGACCAATTCTATCAGAATAACTTAGGGGATCAAAATGGAAGTGCAGAGCCAAATACAGGTTTCTTTTCTCTGCTCTTCTGCTGGACCTGTATGACAGGCATGTGCTCCCTTCTACAGCTGATTTCAGATGGGATGGAGCAGAGGAAAGGGACTTTCTTCTGAGCCTTGGAAGACAGCTGCAAGCTTTGTTTCTATGAGCTGCTGAAATTCAGCATCAAATAAGTAATTACACTCGTTTCCCTTTGCATTTGTTCAGCATCTCTCAACCATATTTTCCAGATGTGTGCATTTTTTAACCTTATTTAAAAATGCACGTATGCATTTTTTGTAGCTGCCCACAAAAAGCATTTTCTATCCATTCTTTCTTGGATCTGGCCTGACCTGTATTTATAGAAGTGCTCTTCATTTGCCCCTCATCACTACATTCCACTTCAGTCTCCGGTTCATTTTGCTCTGACTGACCTGACGTGGTCTCAAGCTTATTACCATACGTTATCTATGCCAGAAAAACTGAATCACAGACTGAAATTATAGACTCTGGGTCAGATGCCAAAATATATGCTTGAGCACGGTCTGGGAAAACGAGCCAACCAAAAATTTTCCCAGCATGGAAGCAGGAAACACTGAGTTGAGCCTGAGATCAGCAGATTCAACTTCTGTCCTCTCCCTCCTCCCCAGCACCAAGGGCGCCCTGGAGATGAAGGGTAAAGTTGTTTGGCTTTTTTTTCCTGTTATAGCAGTGCTCTGTTTGGATCCCACCTAAGTAATGGCTGCATAAGAACATCGGGTGGGCAGTCCTTCTAGTCCTTCTAGTAACTAACTATTCCAGGTCTTGTTTCTCTTTCCTGCATAGGAGGTAAATGAACTGATGGAAGCCCAGAAGGCCCTTCCTCCTGAGCAACCGAGGCACCTGCATGTTACTGTGTGCTGTCACTCCAGCTATGGCAGAAATTCCGTGGGATCATGTTTCTGTGATTCTGTTGGCTCCTGGGTGCCCAAGCCCCCAACCTTGCCCTAAGCCCCTTCACATCCCATTCACACACTGCTGTGTGCCAACCTTGGCATTGTGGGTGCTGACACCAAAACTGGGGCACTCCAGTGTCTCTTCAGACATGTGCCAGGACCCAGCTTGGTGCAGATGAGTCCACAGAATCAGAGAGATAACTAATTCCTGGATAATCTTCTCCCACATCCCTGCTTTCCCTTCTAGGCTGATGTGCTGAGGAGAGCTTAGGCACCAAGGAAAAACATGCCAAGTGTTTTTAATGCTAGTGAAGCTCGTGCAACACTATTTACAAAAATTCTTTTGCATGGAAAAATGACTCCATAAAAATGTCATGGCAGGATTTCATGTTTATAGTCTCTCAGTGATTACCATGACGAATCTGTTCATTTGCCAAGTAGAGATATTTGTTTGTTTTCAGATGGCAACCCTGCAAACCCAGCCTGAAATCTGAAAGCAATCTGGGGCCTTTCTGGCTCTTGCATCACCAGCAATGGAGATCTCCCTATCAGATAATGATCAACAATTCTGGTGGCAGTGCACAAGCCAAAACAGACTCCAGGTCCTTCTTACTGTGCTCAGTTGAACCTTCAAAGCTAAAATATGTGGAATATCTATTTTAAACTGATCTAAATGTGCTCAGCATGAACTGCATGTGGGGAAAATGGCATTTTTCAGCTGTCAATTTCAGAGCAGACTGCTGTTTGTAGAGTAACTTGCCCCAGATCAGGTTTTATCTAGCTCTTACATTTAGACGGAGAAAGGGAGGATGTTGGAGAGTTTGAGAGCATGGTGAAAGGTGAAGAGACAGGGCTGGCAAAGTGGGGGAAAAGGCACAGGAACAGAATGAATGGGAGGGAAGGAGAAATCCTGGGGACATTTACAGGAGGACGGGAAGAGAAGGGAAATCAGGAAAAGCAGAGGGACGAATGAGGGATGGTGAAAGGAAGACAGAGGTTTGCTTTGGGTGCAGAGCTCTTCCAGAGAGCAGGAATGGATAATTTGTCTTGGCTTTCTGTAGAGCTGCATCCCAAACTAGAGTCAACAGAGAGGTGTTTGATCACATTACATTAACAAATTGCTTGATTTCTGAAACATGAACCCAAATTCTCCTGTGCTAGAATCAGTAAGTTTGCTCTGACAGGAGGCAGGAGGTGGAGTAGGTGCATGACTTGGATGAAGAGAATGGTCATATCTCCTCTGGGACACTCTCCGCATCTGCATGTAAGACTCCCCTCACCTGTAGTACAATGAATAAATCTCCCTTCTCTGTCAAAATGCCTCATGCATGACCGCAGCCCTAGACCATCTCTGGCAGTCTGGTTACAGAGTGTTTTCCAGAGTACAACACATTATGAATAGGGCTATATCTGTAACCTGGAGAGGGTCCCAGTCTCTGAAGCCTTTGCCTTTAAAGGAGGCTCTACCAAACACAGACAATTCTCCCCATGCCTGCACCCTCCCCCCACCCATCCTCACACACAGCCAAACAGCAAAGACCATGGCCACTATCCTGGAGCCCTGGAAGAAGAATGGGCTCCTCATGGCCAAGGAAGGATCCTTACCTGAGAAGAACTGGCTGATAGAGTGAGGCAGAAGTGTGAGGAAGGCGAGTGGGTTTGCAAAGGACATGGAGAGTGAAGCAGAAATGTAAGCCATGCCTGCCACCAGAGAGTCGAGGCAAGCCAGAGAGGTGTAGAGGCAGAACATGATGAAGTTCCGCATGTTCCTGCTCCCAATGCAGTTCCCTGTGAAGAAACAGTGGTGGTCATGCCTCTGGGTGACTCTGGCACACAGTCTACAGTAGTGAGTGCTGGGCAAAGCTGAGCCAGGGGACCTGCTTCCATCCAGCCAGTCCGCCACCATTTCGGCTCCTTCGCCCAAGTTTAAGCCCTTGCCCAGTTCCTCAGGGGAGCTCTGGATCACGAGGATGTAGTTGCCCAGGGCATTAGCTGAGAGAAAGAGGAAGAGGGCCCCATGCAGCAGAGCAGGAGAGAAAAGTGGGGTGGTGGAGGGGTCACTGAACATGCTGGGGATGAAGAGAAAGATCTGGAGGACGAAGGTCACTAGGGAGATGCACAAGAAGTAGGCTGGAGCAACAACATTGAGCAACCTGAGAACTAGCATTGCGGATTACGTTCCTGCAGGGGAGAGCAAGGAGAGGACGAACATCACCGCTCCGGCTGCACACTTCATCCTTCCATTTCCTGCCGGGTCCCCGGCCCCGCTCTGCTCCGGTAGAGCCCCGAGGCGGGGAAGCTCTCTCTCGCCGCCGCCCCACGGCCCCGGCGGGGCTCGGCAAAGGGGAACCCCAGAGCAGCGCCCGCTCCCCGGCGCCCGGAGGAGGCAGCCCGGCCCCGGCGTCTGCCTCAGGGGAATTCGCAGCGGCGGTGCCCCGGAGGGGCTGCGGAGGCTGAAGGGGAAGAGCTGGCTTCCTCGGTGTGCCGGCGGTATAGGCACCGCTTCGCTCGCCTAGCAGAGTCCCTCTGCCAGGCAGGGTCAGTTTTGGTATTGCATGAGAAGAAAAAAGGTGGTGCTGGAGGAGGGGGGAGTGAATTGGAAGGGAAGGGGGGAGGAGAAGGGGAGGGGGGAGAGGTTGCTCTAATCCACTGCAATACGGATCAAATCCAATGCTCTAATTTATCCTTTAAAGCCACGGATCTACAGATTACCTCTCTGACCGCTGCCCTGCTGTGCACAAAATTAGAAAATGCACAAAACAGCTGGTCAAGTGCTGTCCGGATGCAACCTGCGGCGCTGGTCTACCAAACCGGGCGGCCTCGCAGCCGCAGCCGCGGCTCTGACCGGCTACAGCGCATCGGCACCGGCCGGGCGGGCTCCCCCGGCTCTCTTTGTGCTCCCCTTGGCCCCGGAGCTCAGCCCGTACCGTGCGGACGCGGAGAGCCCGGAGGACCGAGGGACAGCTCGGAGCCAGTCCGGTCGCGGCGTGGCTGCCCCGGCACCCCGATCAATCCTCGCCGGCAGCTCCAAAGAGCTCCCCGGCGCCGCGGTGCCTGCAGAGTCCCGGAGACTGTGGGGGGTCTGTCCCTGTGCACGCCGCCGCCCTGCAGCCCCCTTGTTCCTGCTGCCCCGGTGCCGTTCGTCTGGCACCTTAGAGCCGCCGTTACCGCCTCCATTCAAGCCGAGACCCCTGCTGCTGCCGCGTCGTAGAGCAGTCCGACCCCGCGCTCCTTCTCCTCCCTCCGTCTCCTTTTCCTTCTTTCCCTCCCATTCTGTTTTTTTGTCGTCCCACACTGTTCGGCCTTGTCCCTGTCCCCTGTCTCTGTCGCTGCCCCTGCCCTGCCTCTGCCCTTGTCGCTCTTTCTGTCTTCCCCCCCCCCTCCTCTCTTTCAGTTTTTTTCCTATTTTTCTTCTCCCTCTCCCCCTCCCCAGCACGATCCTCTCCCTCTCCCCTCCTCACTCCACACCCCCGTCCCCCCGTCCCCGTCCCTTCCTATCCCCCTCCGTCCCGCGGACCCGGAGCTGTCCGTTCAGCACCACCGCACGCCCTTCACCTCCCTCCGCGTTCTCACAGAGGCTCCGAGGGGGAACAAGCGTGTGCTCGGGGCCTTGAGGTGTCGCCGTCCCACGAGGCATCTCGTGCTCGAACCAGCATCTGAGGCAGGGGGAAACCGGGGGATAGTCTCTGCCTGGGTGGTTAGTGCTGCCCTGTACAACAGCACTTGTGTAGGAGAGGGTTTGGTGTATGAGCAGAGGTGCTTGGGCAACATGGCGGGCTGGTAGAAACCGTGCCAATATGTACTCTCCTCTGACAGCCGCACGACCTCTACCCCACTGCCCACCTACACACTCTCACACTGTCTACACTCGTGCTGTGCACAGCCTCTTATTCTCCCACACATCTACATGCTGCACCCACTCAGCTCCAATGAGAAGCATCCCTTCTCCCTCCACAGACAAACCACCCATGGCAGAGGAAGGGGAAAGAAGAGGACTGCTGGCCTTAGCCTTATCATAGGCCCAAGGCTTAATAGCCCACCTCAGCACACCCAGCAACAGATTGCCTCTCCCTTTGTCTGAATATACAGAGCAAAATTAAAATGTGTTTCCGGTCTCTTCTTCTAGGGAGAGAGAACTGGAGCAGAGGGTGGCTGTGCTTATCACTGACACTTGCACCAGCTTGGAGGTTGGTGACAGCAACCAAGTTCAAGGGTTCTTTATCAGAAATGTTTTTTTTCTTCCAGATAACTCTCATGATTCAACAGTTCTGAGAAAAATGGAGGCAACGATACTCGTAAAAGAAAGTGCAAACTAAGCCTGTAGGCGCTGGGTCTGCTGTGACAAACAACTAAGAGACACCTTCAGCAGAACTGAAAGGAGAGCTGCTCAGAACCAATCTAGCTTTCACTCCCACCTCCCTCATTCTCCTGTCATGACTGCTGAGAATAAAAATCCTCCAATATTCCCTCAACTCATCAATTTAAAGTAGACTGAGCTTTGCAATAAAGATGCATGACCCAGTGAGAATTTTATCTTTAAACAATCAGATATTGTTTCCTCCATATTTTAACAGCTTACATCAAAATAATAAAAACTAAAAACAAAACAAAAACAAAAACAAAACAAAAAAAACCCACAGAATTCTTTTCATATAATAAGAGACTTTTAGATTGAAGGGACCGTATCTCATGAAAGATATTAACTCTGCCTGTACAGGCAACATAATAAGCAACAGCCAAAGTGGAGGAAAGGGGAGAAGAGAGGAGAGGAGAAGAGAGGAGAGGAGAGGAGAGGAGAGGAGAGGAGAGGAGAGGAGAGGAGAGGAGAGGAGAGGAGAGGAGAGGAGAGGAGAGGAGAGGAGAGGAGAGGAGAGGAGAGGAGAGGAGAGGAGAGGAGAGGAAAACAGTAGGGCAATTTATCCCACACATTCTCATTAAAATGCTCCTGCAAATTGCTGCTTATGATTTGTCACTGTCAAAATACTGGCTGCATATTTTAGAATAGAGTAAAAAAAAATTCCTCCTTCAATGCCATTGTGTCGATACGATGAGATGCTGACAGGATGGGGAAGCAGTTATCTATGGATGAATTTGCCTATTCATGTACAAGTGTATGCATAAGAGAGAGGTCAGTAAATAAGGAAATTAACACAATGAGTAAGTGAATAGTGAGAGCAGCAGCTAATCTGGAGCAAGTAGCAAGATTTTCTTTAGCAATTTGAATTTTTTCCATTGTAAGATTATCTACATGAGATAACTTGAATGTGCGGCACAACCCTACTCCTCTTCTGGGGAGATAGTTTCCCTGGACAGACTCTGGTTGTGACCCAGGAGATGGAGTAGTTCTCCATCCTGCTTTCAATTGTAGATAAATCGTTTAATCCATGTATTAGAATTTTCCTGTCTTTGTATAGAGCAGGTTTCAAGCCACATGTCCGCCTCTGGAAAACATGACAAGTGAGCATGAGGAACACCAATAGGAGCAATCTATTGTTGTTATTACCTACTGTGCAGATGTTTTCCAAAAATTAGCATAGTACATTGAAATAATACTCGCTCTCATTCCAGTGTTAACATAACTGAGTCTCATCATGTCACTTTCCCCTGCTCCCTGTGTGTGTGTGAAGTGGGTATTGTTCCCCATGTGTGTGAGGGGGCATATTTCCCAACATTTCCCAAGCAAGGGAAGTGGCAAATCTGTACAGTTGTCAGCCAGCTGACGTTCTCATTTTCTAGCTCAATAACATAGGCTACACTTGGTCACAATGACTGACAGATGAACATCTTGGTAGCTTATTCCCTCGATCCCTTTGTTCCCTATGCTCAGCCATTTTAAGCAAAATAAAATGCAGTTCTAGTCAATTCCATGTGCTGATACACTCTGCTCAACCTCTTTCAAGACCTTGTTTTAAATTGCATCACAAATTATGTATCATTTCTTCCAGCTCAAAATGTGCATTACTTCATTCAGATCCATTAGTCTAGCATTCAAGATACATCCTGATGGTGATTTTTTTCTGAAATGAGTGAGTTAATATCTGCTGTTTACTGTGATAGCTTGGGAGAAATGAATGCTCTCTGTGGTAAACTCACTGCTGCTTGTCTTAAATTATCATTTAAGTACAAACCTTATAAAGTTCTTGTGAGATTTTTTCCTTTTTCCAGCTAGTTAACTTTCAAAATTTGAACACCCACAATGTCTGGAGAGATTTCCTGTTTGGTTAGGCGAAGTTGAACAGCCATGACATGTAGCAGGTGAGTCCTGATGTCTTCAATTTAGCAACAAAAATTATATAGCATGGTTGGCAGCAGAGCTGCAGGCTTTTATGCTGTCCAGTTTCAGATCTACATAGGTGGAGACTTGAACACTGAGAGGAAAAGAGAGCTCAGTCCCTTTCTTACACTTGCCTATGCCATCAAGGGACAGATCTGAACATCCTGAAATAGGACACTAACACAGAGTTTCTACTCTAAGTGATAAATGATCGTCAGAGGCCAACTCAACCACCTTTCCCACTGCCCCTTTCTCCTTGACCCAGATATATCCATCCCTTGCAGAAGAGGGTCCAACTAGATCCTGAATATCCCTGCGGATTCTCCACTACTCCAAGGCAATTCATCCAGTTCTTTTCCTCCTTTTCAGATTTTCCTCCTATCTGGCTTGAAATTCCTTTGCAGCAATTAAAGTCCTTAGTCCTTATTTCATTCCCAGTGGATACAGAAAATTTAAATCCTTTTCTCTCTGTGATGTCTATGTGCTTGAAAATGGTTACCATGTCTTCTCCAGATGAAGTCACCTCATTCAGTCTTGTGCTGTGTTTTGGAAACCTTTGATGACAAGCCTGAAGGACCTGGGGTATTGTCTGTTGCTCAGGTACCTGAGTGGAGGGGCAGCCAGCACTGAGTGCAGGCAGTTGTCAGTGTAGATCTCCATAGCCAGATTTTAATGATTTTGACTTAGATTGCCCATTGTGCTGCATCAGTTGTGTCAGGGGTTTCAGTGAAGAGGACACTTATTAACAAAGTAAGAGGTGGGAACTAAACAGCTGAAAAATAGTCATGGCTTTAACACACTGCCAAGTGCATGCTGTATCTGAAATTATTACTTAAGCATTTCTATATCTTTTCCAGTCCCCATCTGTTCAATCTTCACCTGCTCTCACTTTCTCCTTCCTGTAAGGACAATGTTGAGAGAGGGTTTTTCCTTTCTGTCTCAGTGTGACAGGTTTTCTGAAGGTTAATTTGGCTGCAGTTTTCTCACTACAAACCTCTCAGCTTATCACTCAGTGTAGGAATAAGCTAGGAGATAATTTGAATTGTGCAAGGTATTTAGGCAGGGACATGTTATGATTCAGATAGTGTCATATATTGAAAAGTAATCCAGACTTCTAAAATAAACAAGTAAATTATGTGCCACCTAAAGACATATCCATGCCTCGCTGTGTCTTTGTATTTGAAAGAGATGTTTTTGGGTCAATAATCCATGCAAGTGAGGAGAAATGGAAATGAATAAAAAAATGCACCTAGAACCTGACTCATTCAAACATGCCTGATCTCCAGCTTC